TTTCACAAAATATTCAGGGAACTTTTTTCACTATATTAGTACAGGCCATTAAATCCTGCTTCTTTATATGTACTTTAGTTCACTTTTGTTGAAATGTTCATATCCTGTCTTATACACCTCTGCTTAGTATTAGGCTGCTGCAACTATTATTTTTAATATGCATAGATACACACACACACACAAACTTGCATTATTTATTTTTAAATATTTGTGTACGTGTTCAGAGTTACTGTTAGAGATGAACAGAAGAAGTGGTGTTTGCTTCCAGATTGAGTTTTGACAAGGGTTCAGGATTTGATGACTAGAGCTCAAGTTTAGAGACGCTGATGCTGAAATGTCATCAGAGTTAGTGAGGATATTTTAGCCACTATGGTGGGAATCTCATGAGAGCTTGCCAACTCCACTTAAAATGATATTGGTCTTCATGATTTTTAAAGCCAATGCTATACATAAAAAAAATTCTCTCCAACTATTGTCTGGTCTCTGGCCTCCATCTGAAGGCAAAAATCAGTGAGAAAGTAGTGGATGTTGTGTTTTGATAACTGGTAAAATCTACCAGTAGCTTGCATGTTTTGTTGTTGGGCTTTGGTTTGAAACAAAAAATGGACAGTGTTAGTGGCACTAATCTGATCATTTCATTCGGTGGGAAGTGATGTCATCTCTTGGGGACAGAAACAAAGGAACTTCCTACTCAATTGCTGTCTAGCACATCTGCCTCCATTAGTTTTTATGACCATTTGCAGCCCAGTGAATTCTGTCTTTCCAAGTGTTAAATGGGCATTGTCATGCTCAAGACTGTCTGCTGTCCTAGACGAAATTCAAGTCTACCACTCCTCTCTTTATAACCTGGATGGCAGAGTTGATCCAGCTGCTGATCTGTCAAATTTGTCTAACTGGAACTGCAACCCGGTTCCTGGGATAACAGTGGAACTCACATTGTGCCTGGCCACCCCTCCAGCCTAATAGAGGTCTAGCTGCTTAGTTTGCCTATAACTAGAGAAACCCATGCCTACAATATCAACAATATCGTAAAATGATAAATGGATGATCACTGTTGAAAGAGGAAAATCTTGAACAAGGTAAGCACAGAAAGCAGCCATAAATCAAGAAAAAACAATGCAAGCTGCAAATATAAAAGAAACGCTTAACAGAGTTTAAAGAAATAAGACCAGACATATAAAGTGTATTATCTCTTATCCAAAGAGAGGCAACAGAGATAGTGGAGGGGAGGTTGGCCATAATGGAACAATGAACTAGTGAAGATTCAGATCTGACTTGCTCAACTAACCCATTAAGTAGCTAGAGCTGAGAAAAGGACTTATAGGTAAAGTTGGATGCTACTAAAAACTGAGACTATAGGGGAAAAACTCTGGACTAATGGATTACCATAGAGACAAGAACCCATTTTGGTTTGTGCAAAAGTTGATTAGATACGCCGAATTTGGATTATCTAAGTGAAGTTTCGATGGACGGCACATGTAGAGTCTTGACTCCTGATGCTACAAAAATAGGTGTCTTGGGGAGGATTCCATTTCCACCAGATTTTTTTTCTATACAGCAGCTAAGGGAGCTGAAAAGAAGTTGCATTAAGATAACAAAATCCTGATCTTGTAGGAACTCTCCTCCATGAAATTTAGCTTTGGATGCTAGGATAAGACAGGACAGAAGAATAATCGGAGCAAAATGCCTATTCTGAATAGAAGGGTCCTTTATTAGACTGTTTTTAAATTTTTTTAAAACCATTTTTGTGGTATTGGTGACACAAAAGAAAGAAGAACAATTCTTTTGAATCCAAAATGGTGACTAGAAGAACAAGCGAAGAATTGCAGAAAACTAGAGATGAGGTAAGTAGTAAATTTTATTATTCAGTCTACATGCAGGTGGCAAAGATAAAATAAAAATTATTACTAAGGTCAAGAAAACATAAATTAACATCCAATCTCTCAGGCAAGACAAAGTAAATGTGGATGAAATCTCAGATCGTCTTTAAAATGTTAATTAAAGTTTGAGGTAGAAGGCAATAATTTACATCCTTGAAAAATAATCAGTCTGAAAAAAATATTTAGAGTTAAGCATTCTATATATGCTTGTGGTTAATTTATTAGCAACATATCATTAAAGTTGGTTATTCCTATATGACTAAATCTATAATGACATTACATTGCTGTTATAAACAGATTATTCAGGAAAAGTGTTGGGTATTTCACTATGTCTAATACTGCAAAACATTTTATTAGATTACTAATGAGTTTTAGCTGTTGTACCTTTTCTGAGATACAATAAATGACAAGAAAATGAAATAAAATATTATGTAGACCCAAGAAACTTGATCAATGCTGATAGTGGCATCAGAAATGAGGTTAGAAGGAGAAGTGCTTTAGCAAGAAGTGCTGCACAATTGATGAAATTATGCACTGATAAAAATATTACATTTGGTACCAAGAATGGAAATGTATTAAACAAGTGTGTTGCTCTACAGCCTAGAAGCAGCTGCATTAAATGAATCAGATGGTTGGAGACAGTAAGGATGAGTTCTTTGGAAGAGGGCAGATGTAAATTGGCATGACTTTAAGATAAACCAAGTTAGAAGAAAAGGAGGATGAGAAACCTGGGCACAGGATTGGCTGCCATTGAAAAAGATTACAAGGGTGGGGACACATTAAAGATAGACATGATAGGACATGAAAGAGACTAACAGAAATGCAACCAAGGTGAGTCAGGTCCAGAGGCTGACTTCAGAGCAAATGGTGGGACATCATATGCAGGGACATGAATGGAAGAACAAGCCATGCACAGGAATGAATGGTGATGCTGTCCTCCCCATGCCTGGTAATATGCTTTGAGATGCAAAGAAGAGACGAATATAATGTAAATAAATTATGTACTCTAAGGGTACGTCTAAACTACATGGCTCCATCGACGGAGCCATGTAGATTTGTTGTTTTGGCAAAGGTAAATGAAGCCGCGATCATTTAAATCGCGGCTTCATTTACCTTTGCCAAAACAACAAATCTACATGGCTCCAGCGACGGAGCCATGTAGATTTGTTGTTTTGGCAAAGGTAAATGAAGCCGCAATTTAAATGATCGCAGCTTCATTTACATTTACATGGCTGCCGCGCTGAGCCGACAAACAGCTGATCAGCTGTTTGTCGGCTCAGCGCAGTAGCCATGTAAATGTAAATGAAGCTGCGATCATTTAAATTGCGGCTTCATTTACCTTTGCCTATGTGTCTAATTTACATGCCTCTGACGACAGAGGCATGTAGTCTAGACACAGCCTAAGAGTGACGTAGGATTTAAAAGGTATTAATTTTTGGCATATCACCAAGGTTGGCCAGTGACTTTGCAAAGTCTTATGTCTATTTTTAACTGTCAAAATAATCTACTGAGACCATTTGGTCTTGAATGACTTAATCTTGAAGCAAACAAAAAGCTCTTCATTGACTCATCTTTTTTAATGGAAGTAATTTTGCATTATGAACTAGCTGACAATGTCTTTTTAACACTGCCATAGCACAACACTGCCATGATAATGCCTTTCAGCCAAATATGCTGGTATGTAAACCAACAAAGTTACTGGTTTCAAACTGGAAAGTACATAACTTAAGCTTTCCGTGCTATTTCCTTTCTTTTGTGATAGGAACTCATAACCACTCTCTACATTGGATTCTTGGGACTGATCTTCTCTTCCTATTTTGTCTATCTTGCTGAGAAGGATGCAGTGGATGAAGATGGAAGAACAGGTTTCTCCAGCTATGCTGATGCCCTGTGGTGGGGTGTGGTAAGTCATCGATAGCAAAGCACGTGCCCTGTCTCTTTGTCCACTCTCATGCAAGATGGACCATGGACATAAATAGCAATTATTTTCTTCAGTAAAGATTTATTTATATGCAAAATCAGGCCTTCTATTTATAATCGATAATTGAGAAGGGAAATTTTACTTGAAAAAAGTAAACTTGATAAAACTAAAATATTTCAGTGCTAAAGAATATTATGGAGGCTAAGTAGTGACCATGTGGTAAAAGCTTTTGTTGTGTTTTGTACTTAAAGTAAGAATTAAATCCTTCTTTTAAAGAGTGAAAAAAAATCTTGAAATTTTACATTCCCTTCTGAGCCCAAATGAATTTTCAGGTCTCTTTCTTTTCTTTTTTTTTCATCTAAAAAAGAAACATTCTTTTAACTAAGTTCCCTCTTATAAATCTAAGCCAGGATGTTTCATTATTCAGATATCTCTAGCTATACCAATGTACTGACAGCCCCAAAGCATGTGTTTGGATGTCAGTCATGTAGACTACAATACAAACTGCATATTCTAAAAGATGACATTTGTCATAACATGGAATAGTTCCTTTGAGAGTAGTTGACAGAATCGTCCAGATCCATCAGCCATTTTGGCCTCGGAGAAGAAGGTTTGGGGCTGCCGGTAATGATCAATAACTGGTGTTGTTTAGGGGCATGAATGCCCCGTTGAGTGGAGAAGAAAACGTGTAGTTATGTGGGGAGTGAAGAGAACAGGTATCAGTGAGCTAAGGTACCAGGATTATGCTCCTCTAGCCATGTTCCTCAGATTAATGACTCAGGTCTGGGAAATGTCTCTCCTCTGCTCACCAGCAGCCTAAGTCTGATACACCACAGGTGCTCCTGAGGCACCCTTTCCTACTGGCAAATTTCATGTAGTGGATGACCTGGGAGTGCCAGTGTGACAAACCAGAGGAAGTTGACAAATTAGGTCTGGTGATAGAAGGTGACATACCTTGAGTATGATGACGAGATATTACTGGGCAATTTTTGGGTGAAGACTCAAAGCCACTAGCTCCCAAATATACTTCCCCACTTGCCCATTCAGCCCTTACACATGCACTGTCTATTCTTCCCTCTCCAACCATGCTGTAAGCAAAACCTTAATTCCCACCTCATACTTTCCATTGACAAGTAACCTCTCATGCACTTTTACAGTGCATACATGTATATATATAACAGATGTTACATTTGCTGTGTTTATGACACAAGCCAAGATCTACCGCCTCGCCCCTTCCTCGAAGCCCCGCTCCTTCCTTGAAGCTCCGCCCTCTCTATTCACCTCCTCTCCATCACTTGCTATCCCCAACCCTTATACTGCTGCTTTTTTCCCCAATTCTTCTGTAGGAAGAAGTTTTTCCAATATTTGGCCTGTCTAGCCTGGACCGAATGTGAGAAAAACCCCTTATTTTGGAAGCCCCCTTATTCCTTGTGGAAAGAGGAATATAGAGGTGACCGAAAGATCATGTTTTCTCTTCCACTAAAAGAAGTGGAAGAACAAATGCATCCGTGAATGCAAAAGAGTTTTTCTGGGATATCTCCGGAATCCTGAAAAACTCCTGCAGTCTAGCCGTAACCTTGCTGGGTTGAGACAGGATGTGTAGGCTCTGGGGTGAGAATGAAGGATTTGGTTGTGGGAAGGGGTGAGAGGTGTCAGTTCTGGGAGGAAATCTGGATGCAGGAGAAGGTGTATAAGGGGACACTGGCTCGGAGAGAGGGCACCAGGCCGGTCAGATGTAGGGTAAGGGTACTAAGTAAGCCACAGACTTCTGGATGTGAGGGTTCGGGAATTTGGGTGGGGTATGTGACAGGCTCAGGGCAGGGGGTTCCAGTGTATGATAGCCTCCGATGTAGGGCCTGGGGGAAAGGGGAGCGCAGGAGTGTTATGATGCTGTGGACAGATGGGTTCTTAGCCCCAATTTGGGGTTTGTTGGCCAGGCTTCATTTTTAAATAAAATACTGTGTCAAACAAAAAAGTTTCTGCATTGTCTTTATTTCTGAAAAGGGCAGGGAACCTGTCTTGAGTCAGGGGTCACTGACCCAAGAAAAGTCAGTTGGGGCCACACAAATGAGGTGCGAAAAAACCCTTCTCCACTCCCTCCCCCCAAGCTTCACTAATGTGGCCCCAACTGTGTTGGTGGGAACAGGGGACATAGTACTGGGGAAGGATGCTAGTGGGTGCTTTGGCAGGGGACAGGGTGCCAGTGGGGACAGAGTTCTGTGGCTTGGGACAGGGGAATGGGGACAGAGTTCAGGGAGTGGGGATGGGAATGGGGACAGTTCTGTTGCTGGGGACAGGAGAGTGGGGACAGAGTTCTGTGGCTAGGGAGAGGGAACTGGGCAGTGGGAATGGGGGAGTGGGAGCAGGAGGTGGGGGGGAGGAAGTGGAGGCAAAGAGTCCCCTGCATCTGCCTCCTCCCAGGATTCACCCCACCCCACGGGAAGTCAGCATGTGCCTCTTCGGGGCCCAACTCACCCTCCAGTGCAGGGAAGCCCCATGCGAACCTGCCCCAGGGCCGATCCCCTTCCCCCCGCGCAAGGAAACCCCACACGTGTGCCTGCCCCGGGGCTGACCCCC